GTATTGGCTGGTTGTTTGATAAAACTTTTTTTTCTGTTCATCCCTTTTTGTTTACAATCTAGGAATAAGAAAGATATAAGGATGTTTCAAACCCAATTATCTTTTGAATTATTTTTGATAACTGCTCATGCTTTTTATTGTTACTGAAATAACTGTTTTAGACGAGTATATGAACCACACCTTGCAAGTAAAATCAAAAAAAATCGGGAATATCAGTCGAGAAAATATGTTTTTTAGGCATACTGATTTCACAAAGTATAAACTGACCTGATTACACTTTACTGGTCTAAAAATGTATTGATCGAAAACTCCATTTTAGGATCTTTTTTATTAAAAAAAATTTTTTATTATCTTAATTTTTTTATTTACTCTAAATTTGTGCATTTATTTTTTTCTTTTATTCTTATTTTTGAAAGTAAACAGTTTTTAGAAAGTAAAACTTGCACTTATTTTTCCCCCAATACATCGCATAACTACTTGCGCCTGTGTGAAAAACCTGGGAAATTAATTTTGTACGGTTTCCGCGGCAGTTAAAGGATTAAAATTACAATCTAATAACACTTCACAGTTTAAATAAAAGTAATTTATGCCACTGATTCTTAAACACATTAAAAGTTACAAACAAAATATTTATGTGTCTCTTAAATTCGGAGTCTTCCCACACATTTTGGTTAATTTATATCAATTTTCTTCTCTTTAAACATCTTTTCTAACAATTAAAAATCTGTACAATACACAAACCAATGTTCTTACTAGCTTCTGCGTGCTTATCTCATAACTTGCCAATCTCTCATCAGTGTACCTAACAAAGTTTTACGTGATCTGGTAAAAGTTAAACAATCCAAAATCTCTGATAGACATAAAGCATATTATCGTTAAACCAGAAAGCGTCACATAAAGATTTAAATAAACCTCTTACTTAAAAAGAACTTAACACATATGGGCACATTCTTATGTTGACAAAATAAACTACAGCTTGTGATGATGCAATTAAAACAGGAACAGCCAAATTCAAACTAAAAATGTGGACTAGCAGTCAAAGACTACAAAACTTAAATTTAATCTAAGGTGGCTCAGTAACTTTATTGTAGGAGAAAATTCAAATATTAGCAAAGATGAATAATTCAAACTATCAGAGCTGGCAGGAACTAAGGCAGCATCCAAGTGGAAGGCAAAAACATTCTGTGTTACAGTTGAAAAATTTCAGTAAAACTATCTGATTTGCATTATGGTGAGGAAATGGAAAAGGGGAGTTAGGCTAAAATTCTAAACAACTGATTAATTTGCATAAGAATAACTGCACATATCTTTGAAGAATAATTTCCTTCCTGTTTATGTATTCAGTTTCTTTGAAAACGTTTCCTCTTCACTTTAGAATTTTAGGAATTAAAGATTTCTGTTATTCTAAAAAACCACATGCATTTAGAATATAAAGAAAAATCTGCTAATTTTATTTCTTTAGTAACATGAACATTCAATAAAAATGAAATGATATATGGTAAGGGTTGGTTTCATAGCCGATGAGGCAGAATTTTTAGATTTTAGTGACACATCGAGCAAAAAATCTAGAAATGGCAAAACGTTTATAATTTATGACAGGGACTGGGAGCAGAATTTAGGAGAGCATTAAGTAGCATAATTAGGAAGGCACTAGGTGGCAGAATTTAGGATTCACAGAGATTGCATCGGGTGGGAAAATGTCCAGCGCCGACCCTGTGTATGATCCATTGAGACATATAAGGTGAATCTTTTAAATTGTCAGTTTTTAATTTCTTAATTAATAGAAAAATATCTTTTTATAAATGCCTGTCCATGCGAAAAGATTAGAAACATTTTTTATATTTTCCATGCTTGTGTGTAGTGAAAAGTTGAGAAAATAAAAAGAAGATAAACATGTTAAGAAAAAGACTTCTAGCATCAGAAGTACAGCATTCAAACATTATATTTTCACTGTCCTTCCAAAAATTCTTCACAATGTAAAAAATTTATCATAAAATTTCCGTAAAATACATCCACTATGTGTTAATAAAATGAAGACATTTTTCATTTTGTCACATTTTTCTGCAGCCTTCTAGAGTTGTGGGTCTGTAAATCTTGCCCTTCAAATCCTTCTAAACTAAGTTGCAATGTCTAAGATCCTAAAGAAAAATTAGCCTACCAATTCTGTATTAAAAAAAAAAAAAAAAAAAAAAAAAAAAAAAGAGGGGGGGGGGGGCGGAAATATGTTTAAAAAAATCAGTGGAAAAAAGTGTAAAATTAATTTCATAGAGAAAACTCATGCATATTCTGAAACAATTACATGGGAAAACTTCTTACCATGAAAAAATTTAAAGGAGGACATTTTTAATTAATTACACAGCTATTTTGCTTTTGCTATGAATTGTTCTATAAACTGTGCTTTATAGCATTTAATTACCTTGTTTATTTTGCATATTCAAAATACTGTGTAACAAGTCGCCAAAAAGTAATGTCTCTTCATAATACGACAGCAAAAAAATATAAATGTTTTATTTTAATGTTATTTCTTAAATATAATTTCAATGTATTACCATTTAGTTAAATTTATCAACGTTATAATGTTTTAAAAAAAATCATTGAAAAATTCCCAGATCTTCGGTTTAAAAATTTTCTGTAGAAACTGATATTAAAATTGCCAGAATGTTGATAAGTCACCACATTTTGAGCTGTTTAATAAAAGAATTCACATCCACAAAAGCGGAAAGTTGTTTAAGAGGTCTTCATTAGAAAAAAATGAAATAATTTTGAAATGCTTGTGTTTCACGCCTTGCTCAGAAACTCCAGTATCCCACCCTTTACATTAGAAACAGGAACAAATTATAATCCATGAACAGATTCAAAAGATAATCATATTTGTCAGTGATTGCCAAAAATATTCTTCCAAATTGATAATTCACACTCAAAATAGCACTTGTAAAAACAAGATAGAAATTTCAGCTGATTAAAATTAAAGACTTTCTGACGATTTTGGCCTAAATTAAGGACTTTTAAGGACCGTACGAACCCTGTAGTATTAATTAAATGGATTATAACCAATATTTTAATATATCTGAAAATTAATGATATAATTAAATAAACGTACAGAGTCTGTCTACAAAATAATGTGACTGAACTTTTCGCGCTAAGCAGACGGTCAAAGGGGCGGAGTTTGCAGGTGGTACAGGTGGTGGGGGCTGTTAGCTACAGAGTCTGGCAGAAGTCAGTTGGCTTTGAGCCTTTGCAACACACGAATCCCTCAAAAAGCAGACACACGTTGAAAGTGACATTATATTTTCAAAATGCAGTGGATTGTTGAGCAGCTATAAGCCAAGAAGTTTTACGAAAAACTAAACAAATCAGCCACTGAGACACTTGTCATGTTACACGAAGCCTATGGGAAGCACTCTTTATCAAAGGCTCAAGTATTTAAGTGGCACAAAGCCTTCTAAGAGGGAAGGGAGCACGTCAATGATGAACAAACACACTAGACATCCATCAGATTCTCGAAGAACTTTACACAATGTGTCTAAAACTAAAGGGCTTTTGGACTCTGATTGTCAGACAAGTGTCCAAACGATTGCAAAGACACTGGAACTTACTAAATTGATTGCACATCAAATAATCAGGGAAGAACTTAAAATGCAGAATATTTGTGCCTAGCTGGTTCCAAGGATTTTGACAAACAGAAAGAAAATCATAAGTCAATTTCACAAGAATTGTTCAAATGTGTAACACGTAACCATATTTTTTTTAAGCGAGTGATTACTGGTGACGAAACATGGGTTTTTCAGTATGATCCTGAACAAAGAGAGTGCACAGTAGCACACACCCCGATCTCCTAATCAAAAGAAGGTTTGAGAGAACAAATCAAAACTGAAGTCAATACTCATTGCCTTCTTTGACACCAAGAGAATAGTGCACAAAGAGTTCACACCACCCAGACAGACAATTAATTCAGATTTTCACAAGGAAGTGCTTCAAAGGTTGAGGAATCAAATCATACACATCCACTCGGAGCTTACAAATAATTGGATTTGCACCATGATAATGCAATGATCCAATGCTGCCCCAACTATTCTGCAGCTCTCATCTGTCACCGATGGACTTTTTCTATTTTCTTGATTAAAATAAAGCCATCGTTTTGCCAATCTGTAGAACTTGCCAAAAAAAAAAAAAAAACATATAGCACAATCTGAATAGCATTCCAGCTGAAGACTTCCAGTCAAGCTTCAATGGGTGACAGAGTCCACACAATGGTATATTAATGCAGGAGGTGATTTTGAAGAACAAACAAATTTCATAGAATCGGTCTTATTACTTTCTGGATAGACCTGTAAACTATTAAGAGTTCAGAATTTAAGTTTTTCATTACAATATGTTTAAACTTGAAAAATACACAAAATTAAAAAGGGAAAAAATGAATCACTGTACTTCACACTTAGGAATAAATTTATTAATTAGGACTTTTTCATATAAAAAAAATACACATTTCAAATTTGTTAATTCAAAAAATAAGCTTTGCAAATTTTAAAAGCTACATGACTCATTATTTTGTACTAAACATGTACTACATTTATTCAATATGAACTACTCAGATTTTGTACATTCAGCATTTTTAAAAACAAATTAATGGCTTAAATGAGTAATTCTGTATTTAGTTCTAAACAGAAAATTTTTTCATTTTAAACATTTCAACATATTTAAATATTTTGAGTTTTTATAATTTACTCAACAAATCTGAAAAACTTTCAATACATTTTATCAGTACCTGAATAGATTTTTACAATATTGAAAAATACAAAATTGGGGGGGGGACAAAAAATCTATAAGTGCCCTTCAATTGCACATAGAAACATATTCTAACATGAAATTCAGAAGACAGTTTTATTACAACACAAGAAAAATTCTAGCTTTGAACAATTCATTGTTGTATCTAAGTTGAAAGTTGTATCTACAGCTCTACAGTGTAGATCTTTAAAATACAGAAATACTCAAACACATACCTAGTTGTAGCCATGAAATAAGAGGTTTGGGCGAGCTCTCGGCTAGCTGCAAAAAAGACAATTGATTGAAAAATATTGATAAAAACTTTTATTACCTATTACATAATTTACCAAAATAAAAATACACTGTTTACTAAAAATAAATATTTCCTCATGAGTAAAGTTATAAAATTAAACTGATAGCCAAACCTATAAAAAAGTAATATTTTGATAATAAGACATCATAAAATGTTAATAAAAAAGTCATTAGATTGAAGTTATTGAGCAAAAATGAGATAAATATTAATTCGAACTATGCAATTTTCAATACTGTTACGAATTTGGTATTTAAAAAGCTAATGTTAGTTCAATTATAAATTAAATGGTTTTATTTCTCTCGCAGTGCAGCACGTGACGAATATTAAAAGAAAGCTAAGCAGGAAAATTGAAAATACAAGAGCGCATGCATTAAATAAATAAATATCTCTTTTTGATTTCGAGAAAGTACTGGAAAATTCTAGCGCGTGATTTTAAAATTTTATAAAAGAAGGAAAACATCTCAGTTTGTAGGAGTTGCTTAGTTTGTTGTTGTTTAGAAAACTACTCTTGTTGATTGTAGCGAATTCGCGGATTAGCGTTCTTTAGCTGTTTTAAATTACGTTCTATTGGACATTTGAGTAGTTAAAAGATAACTACTGTGAGATATTGTAATACTGCATGATAATTTGAGAAAATTTAAGCATTTTTGTCGTGATAAATAATAAATTTTTGTTCATTTTTCATCGGACTTGTGCATTCATTTCATAACGAACCTGTACGCACGCAACAATAAATTATATGCAATAACAGGAATATTAAGTTTCATAATCTGCAATTGAACAAGTTTCTTATACTACAACAAATTTCCTCTGAAATTTTGAAACTGTAAACATATCTGCTTAGAAAATAGATATCAATGAAAATTTCATTTACGTGAAAAGGTTTCTCTATTTTTAATGTTATTTGAAAATATACACATATATAGTACAAAATCCAAGGTCTGTAACAACTGAGACTCGGGTGATTACAGATTTTGAAAATTTCTGGATTCCTGGTCATCAATTTAAATCCAGTAAGATGGCAACTATACATGGAAAAATTGGGGATTATTGTTTAGGTCAGATACAAAATGCTCAACACGATACGTGTGATCCTAGACAACATCAAAACAATTTCAACCAATGCACTGTCATTGATTACATACAACTCCTAGCCAGGAAGTGTTTGAAACTGACATGTAGGAAATATCAGTTAGTGCAGAGTGAAATCAAATCTACGACACACCTATTTCCTTTTTAAGAATATTATATTCTCATTTCTTAGACCTTTGAAAAGGGGAGAATTTTTTTTTTTTTTTTTTTTTTTTTTTTTGAGTTGTGGTCTAAAAGTCCAGATATAAGATCATTATGGATATTGGACATCCGAGTTTCACAAATAATTTTTTAAATAAAAAATTAAAAAACTTACCCATTAAATAAATAAATATTAAAAAAATCTGAAAGCTTTCAGATTTTACATTACGCCCAAAGGATCATTTTTTACCTCCTAGTAAAAAGGAAGTATTGCAATCACGAAAAATTTCGGGTATCATATTTCAAAAAAAAATATTGATTTTGACCACTGTCCAATGCAATTTAATGATGTTTTTGCTTGACATCTGTATGAAAGGACTCTTTTTCCAGAGATGAATCATAAAACTGATTTAAAATGGATTCAGAAGTTTTTTTTTTTTTTTTGTTTCATTTGTACGTATGTCTGTATCTCGCACAACTAAAAAATGAGTAGCCTCAGAACGTTAAAATTTCTATATAGGACTGCTATAATATGTAGACGTGCACTTCCTATTTTGGTTGCAATTGGCCGCACCAAAAGTATATAAATATATGTATATATCCACCCTGGTACTCGGCTCAGTGAGCTTAGTTGTAAATTGTGCATTTTTTGCTTAAATGATTGAATTATGTTGTTCTTATCTTCCAGTTACGGTTTCTTGCCTTTAGTTAACCTGAATGTTATAGTTGTAGAATTATCAATAATTTAAAAGTTGTTTATCTGTGGCTAAAACTAATTTTTTTACCATAGCAACCACATTTGTTTACATTTGAAACTTCAGAGAATAGTGGATTTGTTGCCAATCTAGAGAAACCAAGTTGGACAACAACAAAGTAATGTCTTTTTCCATTATTGTGAATTAAATTTTGCTTAATCCATTCTGGAATTATCATTTAAGTTATTAAATTATACCCTATACTGACTCAGCATAGCATCCACAACAAATTAAGTCAGTTTTTACGCCTTTTTGCCAAGTGAGACCAACAGTAAACTTTCAGTTTTGTGCACCAAAAAATCTGCCTTCTTGCATGCTGGCCGAATTGCTTGTTTTTGTGTAGAAACTGTAATTTTAATTGTAAAAATTTTTTTAATTGTATTTGGTGTTTTATGTGTTTCTATATCTTTTAATTTTTAATACAGATACTTTGAGTTTTTATGTATTTTTGCCTTGTTGCAAAGTGAGAACTGAATTAAGTGAATGAGAATCTAATGAGATCTCTAATGAAATTCAAGGAAATAAGTTGAAATGAAAGGCAAGAAAAAATACGTATAATTTAATATTTCGTACAAGGAAGTCATGTGGTATACACATCACTTTTTTTTCCTTTACACACACACAAACACATTTTGAGAGCATTTGGGATAAGCCCCGTTGGGCTAAAAATATTTTAAAACAGCATATCTTTAGAATTTCCGACAGTCTCGCACACCGGACATAAAAATGTTTTACTCCATACAGTGTTGCCACTGCTCGCTTTGAAATCATGAAGTTCTTTAATCAAAAAATTCATTAAAGCTTTACAAAATATGAAACAGATTCAAAATTCAGGCTTCAAGGTGCCCATATTCGGGTGGAGGACTACATTATTCAAAATCTGATGGCTCTAGGTGCCGTTGTTTTTTCGCAGTACGAGAAACATACATACGTTCATGCATTATTTAATTTCTTTAAATACAATACAGGGAGATAATATTTGGTGGAAATAAGAAAAGTGATTCAATGGAAAATGCTGTTTCGCAAATAATAGCCCTTCTGAGCTAATGCCCCTTTGGGCTAAAAAGGACTTAATGAGTTTGGGTATTTGACTGTTCAGAGAATCAAAGATCTACTGCATAATGCTTCAAATTAAATTCATCTGTCTTTAAAGAAAATAAAAACAGAAAAAAATAAGAGAATCTGTATTAATTTTAATAAGAACAAAATTACAGAACTCAAGATTTAAAAATGGAATACTCATACCACATAGCAGAATATTTAGCTGTCAGATCTTTCACATGTAAACATTTGTAACAATATTTTAAAACTAAACAAGATTCAGCTCTATGACTTATAAAGATATGGTTCAAGATACCACAGATCATTCAGACACAAAATGAAGTCGGCAAAAGTCCCCCCCCCCCCCCCAAAAAAAATAAGTTCATATTTTTTATACCCATAAAAAAAAGATAGGGAAGAAAGAGGAAAAAACTTGACAGGATTTTAAATGAGAAAACTTTATTAGACATTTTTAAGTATTTCCTGATATAAAAATGACAAATTTTATTTCTTCAAAGTATTTAAAAATTGATAACTAATACCATCTTAAATTAAAATATATAATCTGTATTATATATTTTTAAATACTTCTTCAGTGAATGGTAACAATTTGAAAAATCCATGGGAAAATTTAAAGCCTGAATACGACAGATAAGAAAGACTTGGTGGAAATTTTAAACCTCAACAGATGAGCACCAAACAATGGTATGCATCAGAAAAATGAACACATGCTAATGAAATCCTCCACCTCCCACACACACATACATACATGGATGAAAGCGATGATATACAAGGAATACTGTGGTGACTTTTTTATTTGGTAATTATGTCATTTGGTTTTCCTTAAACCTCCACATAAAATTTAAAAACAGATTTCAGAATAAAAATGTAAAATATTTCACTGCAAGACCCTATTGCAACCAATAAAGGAACACGATTCGGATATTCTTCCTTCCCCCCAAAAAAAAATTCGATGCGGGAAAAACATGGAATATTATTACTAGAATTTTATAAAAGCAATATTTATTATTATTAATCACTGTGCTTCACATACAACTCATCATACATAAAAACTTTTATATTAAGATGTGAAACATATATAGCTTATAAATATGAAGATTTGGAATCTTCACAAAATAATACCTTTTATTGTTTTTAATACAGGGTTCATTCAAATTTCTATTCATGGAAATTTAAAACTTTAAAGAACCATGAATGAAAAAAAAAATTACAGACTTAGTAAATAAGAGCTGAATATATTTTAAAAACTAGCATCATTACCAACATTCTCTTATTTCATTTGTGCCATAAATTAATGTCACATATTGTCTAATGCAATGGCTGAAAGAAAGGCTTTGAAACTGCTCTTCTCTCTTTCTGAATAAGAGATGTCACAAGCCTGTATTGGGTTTTGTGAAGGTTAAAGACAAGCATGCTTGAATCTATAGTAGGGCAGTTATGGCCCTTTATAATCAGGCCACAACAAGTGAAAATGTCTACTATGCTTTGTCATAGTAGGGAAGGAAAATGCATATGACTTTACAGAGAGATGCAACTCAAAAGAAATTGTAATGCAACTTCAAATGTTTAAATGCAATGAAACAACAGGCCTTGTGCTTCAAGGTGATAGTATACAAGTGATTGATAAAACATGCTTAATCAAATTATCCACTGCAATTACAGATGTCAATACAGCACATTCATGGGTAGGTATGAACAGTGACTATAATATAAACATTCTGAAAACCATTTATGTGCAGCTACGAGGGAGAAAACAACCAATTTTTTTAAGAGACAATGGCTCTCTCCAAGACAATACCCAGCTACATGCCCCAGGTATTGGCTGAAATCACTCTATCAATACTTGAATACTCTGCATATAGCCTAGATTTAATGATGTAATTTGCATCAAAAAGGCAGTTCGAATTGAAGACATTCTTTTGAGATAAGGAAATGAAAAATGCCTCGCCTGCAATGACAAAGAGGATGTCATAAAAAATTTTTGTTTTTGAATCTCATATAATGCTGTGCAAAATGTAATTCAGTATAACATTCAAATTTCGGAAAATACCAAACCCCCCCCCCCCAAAAAAAAATTTACTACTTAGTCTATTCTGAACAAGAGAATTACTTTCAAAACTTTTCAATCAGCCTACATATATTTTTTAAGAATACACTGTTTAGGCATAAAATTAGTTCACAAAATACTATTTCTAATTTACCTTCCTCCCCCTTTCTAAATCAGCAACATTGTACAACTCAGGCGAGTACTTACCCTTGACAAGTTGGCACACTTTAACAACATAAGTGTGTGGATGTTCAATTGCAAGACGAAATCCTGAAATATTGATTGGGAATTTAGTGCTAATTCAACATTACAATGCACCAATAAAATCACACAAAATCAGGATTTAACTGTGAAATTAATCATGAGCAGTTATAACACATAATGGTTACGACTGTAATTTTTTGCTATTTCATAAAATAATCCAAATTATTTATGAACTTTCTTGCCTTAGTATGCCAGTAAGAAGTACTTAACAAAAAGTTTTGATTTTGTCTGCCATCCAAAATGCACATGCAATATCAAATGAGGATATAAATTTTCAGGCAATTTAATATTAAATATTATCAAACTTAATTCTCAATAAAACAGTGGAATAAGCCCACTCAAATGACAATAACTGCCACTTAGCTCTAAAAATATACACTTAAAAGGCTGGCTAACAGAAACATTTTCACTATCATAAGAACATCTTTAAATCGTACTGTTTTTCACCATCATAAGAATATATTCAAATACTGCAATTCAAACACTAAATTATAACCTTCAATATCTAACATTTTGTAACTTACTATATTATTATATGTGCAATATGCACACATTCTAAAATGTATAAATTATTACTTACACATGAAATTATCTTGGAAAATTTTGTAATAATTTTAACCATAAATTCTGACAAAAATTACAAATTTTGTATACGAGAATAAATTAATCTTATATTACTTAAAAAAGAAAATCAATTTATTAGTTTCACAGTCACACATAAAAATTACAATTGAATCAGTAAATCTGGAAAACCAGTCATCTCCACCATATTTTGCAAGAAAGAAAAAGAAACATCTTTTTTATTCCAAATAAGAACACAAAAGCAACACTTTAAAAAAAAAAAAAAAAAAAAAAAGCAAATGAGATCTGCTTTTAAGTGTTTCCCCCCCCTTCTCCTCCCACATGCTTTTATGGTGTAACTGGAAACATGATCAACATTCAAAGGCGTGTGTGTGATTATGGCAAAGCCTCGAGGGCTATCTGCCTAAAGGGAGGGATGCCTTTCGTGGAGGACTTTCTAAGGGAAACTGGCTCGTATACACGTTACACATGGGGAAAACCACGAAAACGCCCATGCAGCCAGCCCGTTCGCGGGATTCGAACCTCGGACCGAACTACCAGTGTTCAGCGACTTTACCGCTCGGCCGCTGGTGGGCCCAACAACATTCAAAGGTCCAGTGCTCAAATCACAGTGAGTTTCCCTGATTTCATGGCTTCGGAAGATTCTTTAAAAAAAATCTCTACAAGTAGCATCCTAACTAAAACGTGGTAGACAATAATTCATTACCACAGGATTTGAGAACTGGTTCTCCTAATCCCCAGGTTGCACTTTAAAAGGGGGTGTATGTAATGTATTTTTTCCGTTCTTTCCATATGCTTTCATGGTATAACTGAAACGCATGCCCAGCATTCTGGAGGTCCGGGATTCAAATCCCATCAAAGGGTGGTGCGTATTTTTTAGGTTTCCTGACATTGATATAACCCACTCAACAAGCTTTGTCAGGTTTCATTATCATGCTCTTACGATTTTACTTTGATCAAAATTATGATTTTTCCATAAAGTTTTGTTCCTTATTTTATACTACAATTACCGATGATTAACCTACACTAATTTCTACCAACAGGCAAAACCTGGCACTTTGCAAAATCAACAATTCTACAATTAAATTTCTGTTTAAATTTTTTAAGCCACTGTGAGAATATCTTCCAAATACATCTAACTTCTCAAATTGGATTTTTATTTATGCTGAAGGTTTATTATTGATTAGTAGATGAATAGATTTTCTATTTTATCTACAAAATACAAGGCAGATCTAGAAAATAAATTTTCCATACTCAAAACAGATGACAGGCCATATTTTAGAAGTCAATGGAATTAGTAGAAATTCAGTGACTTCTAAAGTCATGTAAAGTGACAAGAAAGTAAGCCCTTTTTAACAACAAAGTTTGTTTAACAAATTTATTACAACATAGCAGATTTGAAAAGTTTTTGTTTACTCCAGCTCAAGTTAAGCACTACTGCTAAAGCTAGCTAATACTGGGGCAAAAAGAAAAAAAAAAAAAAAAAAAAAGGTGTGGCTTGTTAACAGACAAACATTTTCCCACCTTAATTTAATTCAAAGAAGCTGTGGGAAAAACCCCACAAATGATTTCCATATCGCCGTTAGAGGGCGCTTCGCTTCTGAGAAAGAATGTTTTTTCAGTTTGCGATGTAGTTAGTAGTGAACCATCGATGCAATCCAGGTTGGTTTGTAAATAAAATGATTATTTTTTTAGATTGTTGAAGTATTTGCCTTCAATTAGAATTAGATTAACCTTTCGCAATATGGTGCACAACGACCGGGAACCTTTGGCCAATTTAGAAGTTTGTGTTTTTAAATTTTGGATAGCATTTTATGCGATGACAGCCAAGGTAAACCTGTATTTTCTATTTTGATATAATATGGAAGATCTTATTGCCAAACTGAAATTAAAACGAAAGGTATTGAGGACCGCAGTGTCCAAGATATTAAAGAAAATTGCAACCGAACTGAGTATGATAGTAGTATAAATGTAAATGTATTAGAAGACATTTTAGACAAGTTAAATGAAAAATCAAAATCCTTGAGCAATTTAGACGCTCAAATAGTACGAGAATTAAAAATCAAAGCGGATGAATTTGAACTTGAAATCTCATCCGTTTTGGAATATGAAGAGAAAATTCAAATGCGGCAGTTTAGAGGAAAGAAAAAGTTGAAAGAATTGAATAAGCTCGAAAATTCGGACAATGCAAGTAGGGACACTTCTAATGAAACCGTTACAGAATCCCAAAATGAAAGTAATAAATTCACTTGTCTTCCAAAATTAACCACCTCTAAATTTTATGGTGATCCTTCGGATTGGTTAGAATTTATAGGTCAGATCGAAAATGCGATTGACAAAAATCCAATTTATCAAAAAAAGAAAAATTAATTTACCTGAAAAGCTTTCTTGGTAGCTATTTCTGGTTTCGCTCTCATCGAAAATAATTACGAAGCTGCTCTTGAACTGTTACGTTCCAGATTTGGTCAAACGAACATCTTAATTAATTCATGTTTAGGACGACTCTTAAGTACTTCACCTGTTAGGAATCCTAATAATATAAACAGATTAAGAAAACTTCTCGATCACGTCGAAGTACAGATAAGAAATCTTGAAGCATTAAAAATAGACTCTGATACCTACGGAAATCTGTTAACGCCTTTAATTTTGAAATTACTTCCTAATGAATTCGTTCTTGATTATAGCCGAAAAATTAAAGACGAAAATTGGGATTTAAAAGGTCTGTTAGCCTTTTTGAGGAACGAAGTATTCAGTAGAGAACGTGCGGCTTCTGTTAATTATAACTCTAGATAGAAATATTCGCGATTGGAAAAGCATCTGCCCTTCAAACCTAAACATTCTCCAGCCATTACAAGCAAGCCGTCTACACTTTAGTTATTAGCTGCGTCAGCCGAATCGCAGTGTCTGTTCTGCGGGAACACAAATCATAAATCTGCGGATTGCGAAATTTTAAGTGTAGAAAAGAAAAAAGAGATTTTGAAACGTGAAGCGCGGTGTTTTTTATGCCTGGGTCGATTTCACCGGATCCAAAACTGTAAAAAAAAAAAATAAACTGTTCCTTCTGCTTTAATAAACACTCGAAAGCCATTTTTATTCATTCCATCAGAAAAAAGATAATGAAACACCTGAAAAGAAAACATCAGATTTGAGCGTTATTTCCGCTGTTTCGTCATATAATTCCGATGAAAATAGATCTAATAAAATATTATTACAAACAGCTTCTGCATTGATCCGAAATAATGATAAATCTGAAAATGTCAGAATTCTTTTTAATAATGGCTCAATAAGATCTTTCTTAACTAAAGATGTATCTAGTAAAATGGAGCTTCCATTTGTTAAAAAAGAATCACTTTCTGTTTATTCTTTTGGAGATAAAACTGCATTAGAAAAAACCTTTAATGTTGTTAGAGCAAAACTAGAAAATGTTAGTGATCCTAATCTTAATATATATATTGAGCTTCTTGAAACCAAAAATATATCCAATACTGTTATCTCCCCTCCAGATTTGAACTTTGCTAAGAAAAATAAAATTTTACAAAATTTACAATTAGTAGACTGTTGTAGAAAAAGTGACAAAATTGATATTCTCATAGGGTTAGATTTCTACTATTCTATAATTACTGGTAAAATTAAAAGAATTTCAGGAAATGTAGTAGCCACAGAATCTGCTTTTGGGTGGTGTTTGCAGGGTAAAGTAAATAATGATCATACTGAATTATTAACTATGAAAATAATAGTAAATGAAAACTTGATATCAGATCAGTTACAACAGTTTTGGAAGCTAGAAAACTTTGGTTTGGAAAGTGATACTCAAAACGACAAAACTGTTGATTTAGAAATTATGAAATCTTTTGAATCTGATATCAAGTATAAGAATGGCAGATACCAAGTAAAATTACCTGGTAAACCGAATTCAAAACATTTAATGGAAGATAATAGGGATATAGCACTTGAAAGATTTAAGAAATTGAGTAACAAATTTAAATTGATAACTCTTTGTTTGTTCAATACACAGAGGTTTTAAAGGATTACGAGTTAAAACATATTATTGAACCAGTTCAAGAAGACAATCAAAATGATAAAACCTTATTTATTTACCTCATAGAGCAGTCATCAGAAATGATAGAGCAATAAGCAAACTAAGAATAGTTTATGATGCTTCAGCCCCATAAACCAAAAACACTCTCTCTAAATGACTGTTATATACTTGGTCCGAACCTATATCCTGATATTTTTGATTTATTGATAAAATTTAGACAAAATTCGATAGCCTTTACAGCCGACATTACACAAGCATTCTTACAGATAGAGTTGAATGAAGAAGACAGGGACGTTACACGATTCTTTTGGAAAGATGATCCTGATGATAACAATGAAAGTTTGAAAACCTTTAGATTTACAAGAGTTTTGTTTGGAGTAAAATC